AAAAATAAGAATATTTTTTGAAGGAGTTGCACATGTACATACAAACAGATAATTGTGCGAGTTTTTTCAATATTCCCTCAAAACAAGAAGTCGGTATTTCAATCAAGTGCCATGAGTAATACTTTCCTTTAGCTATGGAGTCCATCAAATTGCCAACAGTAGAAATAGATTGTCATTCCTTCATCTAATCAAAACAACAATTTTATCCCAACTTTCAAAATGCAATTAGAACCATAGATTGTACCCGCATCCCTACGGTCATTAATAGAATAATATAGAAGCAATACTGTAATAAAAAAGGATTTACTTCACAAAATGTTTAGGAAGGTTCCAAATCAAGCGGGAGTTGTTTAGGAAGGTTCCTAATTAAGGAAGAATTATTTAGGAAAGTTCCTAATCAAGAGGGAGTTGTTTAGTAAGGTTCCTAATTAAGGGGTAATTGTTTAGGAAGGTTACTAATCAAAGGGGGAGCTATCTAGGAAGGTTCCTAATAAAGGGAGAGCTATTTAGGAAGGTTTCCTAATTGCGTTTATGTTGTTCATGAAGAGGTTAATTGTTTAGGAAGGTTTTCTAATTATGTTTATGATGTTTATGAAGGGTTTAATTATTTAGGAAAGTTTCTTATTTCTGTTTATGCTGATCAAGAATGTTTCAATTGTGTATTGTGTTAGATGCTATTTAAGGGAGAAGGAGAGTTTGGTCTACGGTTTGAAATTTATATTTTGTTGAATTCTAGGGTCTGTTTACAAGTTTCCTAGTAGTGTCTAGGATTTGTGCAAAGCTGATCTACCTCTCGAATAGTAGATCATTTGTATCTTACATTATTATTGAAGAGATAATCCAAAAATCATTCCTATCTTGTGTTAATATGTTTTCCTTCTCATTTTATTGTTATTTTTACAAGATATCAATTAGGACTGCAAAAAAAAACCTCTTGGGCAAGTGTTGAGTCTACAGGTTTTAGAACATGTTGCTTAAGTTGTAAGTAAGCCAACTTGATTTAGTAATTATTGAGAAGTTTGGTTATCGCCAAGATTATTTCCGGGAATCTGGATGAATCATTTAACCAAGTAGAGTTGGTAGCATAAATTAAAGATGCAACGAAGCATACAGGTTTTAAGAATATATTGCAAATACAAAGTCAAAATATACCAAATCTACAAAAGAAACAATAATAGTGAGAACAAAATTTATAAATGAAGCGACTATAATAAAGAATATGGTGTTCTGGACTATTCCTACCCAGCTGCAACAACAGGTTCTTCAGTGTAAGTGTTGACATGTTTTGCAACAACTTCCCATGCTGTATAGAAATCTAACAAGAAGGAAGAGGAAACATGCCATTAATATATCTTTGCGAAAGGGTAGAAATAAATCAAATCCATTTCAATATGAAAATAATGAAAATAATCAAAATAATACCTGCATTATAGTCAATAACTAAATTGCCACCACAATCATGATATAAAGATTGTGTGTGCATGTTAGAGTTTACGCTAGCAAGGAAATTAATTGCATATGTATTAGTGATCTTCAAGAGCATCTTTCATGTATTACTGAACTCAATAAAATAAAAAGAGGCTTTAACTTCCTTATTTAAGATAAATACACCAATTACCATATTTAAAAACAATTGGCTCTTGATAGGAAGGTGTCGGGGTATAAGAATAATTTAGAATTTATTTTCCATGTATTTTTCGAGTAGACCACAGATTAACCCAATAGTAACACTCCGTAATAATACATTTTATAATATTCCATGGGAAATTAGATGCATCTCTCAATTAATGAAAAATCAAAAATCTTTTCTCTAACTTGATAGGAGTTTAAGCCTAAAACATGTTTAACTATTCTACGATAATTCAGTTTAATGCTGACCCAACATGAATCTACTGACAATGTGAAAGGCCTCAAAGTTCAGTGTGATGCACTTTGTTATGCAAGAACATTACAATGATCCTGAAACAAGAATTCAACAAATAGAAGATAACTTGTAAATAAAAAGTTATAAAAACAATAACAACAACAGCGACTTCAAACCTTTATTTCACTATGTAGGAGATGCTACATAAATCTTTTTTTTTTCCATTGTGTGCTATTAAGAGTCAAATTCTCATTTAAATCTAATAAAAAAGATCATTCGTAAAACATTCTAATCAACTAATAAAAAGTTATAAAAGCAAGGATAAAATTAAACAAAGAGAAAACCAGAAACATAGCTGAGTCATACCATTTGATTTAGGTTATGAATCTTTCTTAGCTTACCAAATCACAAGTATCAAGACCAAAGAGAAAGAATGGCAATAATGAGGAACTTGGGGTAAGGTATCTTGGCATCCAACCCTTAGTGAAACTCAACTAGCATAGAAATACTTCAGACAAAAGAGAAAAGTCGATAAAAAAAGCTCTCTCTAAAGGCTTGATGTTGTTGTTGTTTTGTTGTATGAAAGGAAACAAATATGGAAGGCCAAAGACAACAGAAACTTATACATAATAATAATCCCACATAGTAATATAGAAGAGCAGTCAATGTGTTACATAGTTGGATCAAACAAAAAAATGTCAACAGTTACCAAATACTTTCAAGGCCATTTTAATATTATTTTATTATTATTTTATTATTTTTTTAAGGGCATTTTAATATGAATTGTATTGAATTATTCTACGGTACGACTTTGAATTCCCTCCTCGTTAAATTGACCATTCGGGTTGGGTCGTGAAAGAGCTAGGCCTGCCCACCGTGTCAAAAAATACACAAGTGGGTGATGTCGCAAGACATCATGGCCGTAAGTCTTCAATCTCACCATGCCAAGAAATATGTGAGTGGGTCTTCGGGTACCTATTAAGCTTTTTTTTAATTCCTTGCACACTAAAAAATTGGGAATTATCCCAATGTCTCCTGCTCAAAGGAGAAATTTGAGGTCTTGGCATGCCCACTACACTTAAAAAAACATGGTGGTGTTGTGAGATACCTCGGTTGTGGATCTTCTATCCCACCACAACAAAAAGGAACAAGTAGGTATTCATTTACCTAATAAATATTTTTAAGTTCTAGGAATTTATACCTTCGCGAGGCTTGAGGAGACAACGATAGTGGCAGTAAATATTTTTGGCAGGAGGCTATTTTGTTGTAAGTGGAGGAAAATCAAGAGACTATGATAGGTTTTAGTCAAAGAAGGTTCGAGGTGGAAGCAAGGATGGGATATTTTATACGACAAGTAGGTTGTCTGACAATTGGAGTGATGAGGACATCTGTCAGTGGAGGGATTATCAGAGACGGGATCGGAAATCAACGGCCACGATTGCATCTTTTTTTGAGTTATTATTTATATTTTTATTTATTAATGTATTGTTTCTGATTTTACCCTCACTTGAGGGGGTAGGTTATTGTGACGCCTGAGGGGCACATTTGTCTTTTGATGTTTACTACTATACTTGGTTATTTATATCCCTTTTGTCTTCTTGAGAGGGGATGATGATTACTATGAGATTTCTTTTTTCACTTGTGTTCTTGGAGAGCTTGTGAGCTTATGTGAGAGTTGAATGCCCAAGGTGAGGGCAATGAAATAAGCACCAGCCGCAAGAAGCATTCGGGCTCATGTTCTTCTTACTCCATCTTCTTCATCCTCTTCTCTAACCAGTCCTCCCCTTCCTCCTCTAAGACATCGGCCTCACCCCAAATCCACCCAAAATCAACCCCACCACCATACCCAAGCACACCCCCCCCCAAAAAAAAAAAAAAAAAAACCATCCTATCACATAACTATTGGCCTCTTCCTGCCTACCCACCCCCCCAAACCCATCCTATCACATAACTATTGGCCTCTTCCTTCCTACCCAAGCTGCTGGTCTCCACCTCTAAACCCTAGTAGTCGGCAACCATTTCCCCCATCCCGAGATCCTAAAGTTACCCAAATTTACTACTTTCCTAATTTATCGTATTATTAATTTGGAAGGTCTCTAATTCACATTCAAATGAATATGAATTTCAAACCCTTCCTAATTGATATAAACCTATTTTAGGAAAGCCCCCAATTCTTGCAAATATGAAATTACTTAAGATTTGATTTTAAATCCACATTCATCGCATGTGGACACATTCAACGTATATGGACACCTTCCCTTTTTCGGCTGAACCCCCCCTCTCTCTCTCTTTAATTGTTTCCTTCCCAATTGGGAGCTCCTATTAAGAAGACAATTAGCCACCCCTCCCCCTTATTCCCTCTTTAACTCTTTCATTTTAGGGAAATTAAAATAAAGTTTCCTAATTATCTCCTCCCTTAAATCTGAATTTAATTTCAGATTTCTCCCTCTTTGATTCAAATACATGTTCTACAACTAAATACTCCCTTTCCCTCTTCTATGGCCGGCCCTACCTCCACCCCACCACTTTTAATTAGCCCCCCTAACCTCCCTCCCACCTATACATCGATTATTTCAGGTTTTCACCTTCACCAAGATTGTTGTCCTACATCCGGAAATCATCCTAGTTGCAGTCCAGAATTTCCTGCACGCAATAGTTTGCTGCCTTGTTGTCCATGACCTCCTAGCTCTTTGACCAGATGTTCCAACACGTGACAACTTGCTATCCCGCCGTCCAGTAACTAGTTGTATAGTTACTGTCCTGACTTCCAGGAACTATTCGATCATTATCCAAACATCCAGAATTGTTGTACTGCTGCCTAAAGCATGTGAGAAGGGTTTATTGAGAGTATGAGTGAGTGGACCCAACTAGTGACTAGTCTAAATATTAATTTATGGATTTCCTTTGAAAATCCCTCATGTTATTCTAAGCTTGATTGAATTGGTTAATGTTATGATCCTAAATAATTATCGTGTAATTTGGCCTAAGCTGCATCATCCCTCTTATTGTATTTAATCTCTGTTGAATTCGCTATAAATTAAAATAATTATTATTGCTCTAATCTAAGGTGTTTAATTTCAACATTGGATATTTACATACGCATCTAGTTCTACAACATGGAGCTAGGTGGAAATTTAGGGTCATATATGGCTTGCAGGCAACAGAGCGATTGCATGTGGACAGGCAGGTTGCATACTGAAGGTTGTTTGGGACGGGCAAGCTGGAAGGGAATTGAGGCGATGAGGTAGATTTTTGTAAGTAAAGGGAGTAGTGGTGTTGACGTACTTTTTCGCATCGAGCCCGATTGGGCTCGATCGTGCTCGATCGATTCGATCGAAGGTCGTCAAGACGAAGTTGACTCAAATCGAACCTTAATTTAATTTAATTAAATAATTTTAATTAAAATCAAACCCCGTCGAGCGTCGTCGAGCTCAACTCTACACAATTCGACACCATTCGGCGCCGATTCGAGCTCAATTTCATGAAATTGACTCGATCAGGTTAAATCCGGGCTCAATTTCAGCCTTAATTTGTTAATTTAGGCTGAATTTAACTTTCAAGCCATCTCTTTGAGATCTAGTGCTGAGATTGAGCTCCAAATCCCACTCAATTTCATTTCAAATGGCAGCCAAATCTACTCGAGTAGATATTTCTCTCGTTTCTCGCAACGAGGCTGTAAGATGGGACCGAACAGGGGCGTCTTTCGGCTCTGTGCTGGCGCCCCTAAGTAAACGAAATGAGTGGGGAGCCTCATTCGGCTCCCCTGTTCTGTTCCTTCGCCCGTCCCGACACACAGAGAGAGCGAGCGAGAGAGCAGAGGCGAATCCCCTCCTTCGTGCGACTCCACCAGGCGGAAGCCCCGACCGGCCTCCCTCTCGCGTGCAGAAGTTACGACCGGCCTCCCTCTCGCATGCGGAACCACATTCCGACTCCACCTGGACGGTCGGCCAGACCAACCAAGAGCTCCGTCCCTCTTATCCGCCAGAGCTTCCAAGATCGCAAGCTTCAGGAAGTCTTTACACCTTCCTTCCTCAACTCCGGCGAGCTCGTAGTGGTCAAGAAAGCTGTTGGAGACTTCCAAACAGCAAAGGAAGGCTTCTACTCTCTTCCTTCTTCGTCTCCGGCGACCTCGAGGCGAGTCGGCAGCTGTTGGAGACTTCCAAACAGCAAAGGAAGGCTTCTCCTACCTTCTCTTTCAACTCCGGCGACTTCTCGACGATGAAATTAGCTCCAGGAGACTGTCAAACAGCAAAATCTGCTGTTTGGAGCGTGTAAACAGCAGCCATACAGTTTTCGAGAGCTGTCAAACGCTGAAAACTGCTGTCGAGAGTGCTTTGTACAACAAATCCACCCTCCGGAGTAGCTTGGACAGCAGCGGCGATGTCCAGAATACCTTGGACAGCGACTTGGAGCTTGGACAAAGCTTGGAACTTGGATAGGAGCGCTTGGAC